CTGGCTTCCTTTAAGATTGAGCTCCAGTGCCGCATCCTATAAGAAACCTTTCCTGATTCCCCAGCTGCTATTGCCCTCTTTCCCCAAACTACCATTTTGTATATATTTTGAATATGTTTAGAAGAGGGAGGACCCACTATGAGACTAGATCCCAGACCAGAGGTGGAGAAGCTGAAGCACTGGATTTTCTTTTTCTCTGGGCAATGGCCAGGGATTCATGGCACCAATGGAGAGTATAATGGGTATCAATGGTGGAAATCCTCCTGCGGACCTAGGTTCTGGCCTGTAGGCAATGGTGGTGTCACAATGAACAGTGTCAAAAAATCTGTAAGTTTTACCACCATTTGCCAACCAGTCAGCACTCTTGTCATATGGTTCACTGGAAATAAAGCAGATTCTGGCATATCCGGTCGGGCAGTGGACAGTGCCTAATCACAATCCTTCAGACTCTGGCTGAGCTGGTCAGCATCAGTAGATTCCAAGCCCACAGTGATTGCAGGAAGGTATAAAATTTCTTGAAAGTGTTTTTTCTCATGAAGGTATAAGATGAATGGGGCCTTGATTCCCATAAGCTCTTTCAGGCTGGCTGTGTGAATAATGAGGGTGACAGTGCCATCAAAATAATATATCTTTGAGTATAACCTGCTTTTAGAAGTGTTGTTCTATTCGGCAAGTTCCTCCAGTGCCTTATATTGGGGGTGGAGCTGAAGGGTCTACAATCGCTGAACTTCTAGAGTCAAAGCAGCATTGAGAAGGCAACTTAGGAAGATATGAACTCCAACAAATCTCATGGTTGATCTAGCAGGTGGTATCTTTCAGGGGTTGCAATGGAGATCAAGGGAAGAGTGATGATGAGAGCCTTTGGGCAAAGTACTTGCCCTTTTGTTCAAGGAACAGAAGCAGGGAATCAAAGAGGGTAACTCCTAGCCCTCCAGCTTGAGCAATGTCCAGAGGTTTTGCAGAATGGGATGGTGTTTTACACAGCAAGCTCACCTCCCAGGATGATGATGCTGAGAAACAGTAGAAAGATGAAGAATGCGCTTACCAACAGCTTTAACTTAGCACAGAGGCAAAAATGTCCAGTGAGTGTGATGAAGCTGATGGAAACAAGAGCAAACACAAAGCTGGCAAGAATCTGTCTTTTATGAGTGTCAGTTGTTATTTTCAATTTCTTGTATTTTGGCCATGAAAGTAGCTAATTTGATTCCCCATGGTTCAGTTTATTTTCCTGGCTGTGTGGTAGGTCCTTGTGCTTACCCAATAGGGTAATAGGCCAATAGGGAAGTAATTTGATTCCCATGAGGTATTGACATGATCTTCATGGGCCAGGACAAACCGTGTACCAGTAGCAGGAACACTGCAGGTGATAAGACAGGATCAATTGGAGACAGTGTTTCCGGGGTGACTTCAACCAGAAAATTATTTTTTCAATGTCTTGTTCATAAGACCAGGCCAAGTATTGGTGGCATCCAGTGGGGTTTTTAGGTTGATCTCAGCATAAAGGAGGGTGGTTCTACTTTTGGGGAAGCTTCTTCTTTCCTGATTTTGGAGGAGGTTTTTTTGGATGCCTTCTCAATGGTGTTCTTAGGCATGCTTCAGACTTCCTTTCTTCAATGATACCAAACCCAATGAGGCTTATGAGGATGTTAAGGATAATAAAAACCAGTGAAGCCTTGGAGTAAATACTCAATCGGGACACCAGCTAGAGTAAAATGAAATGAATAGGAGTGCAAAGGTGTAGATCCATATTAGGTAAGAGACTGAAAGTGTAAGCTCTGCTAGTTGGGGTAAAGGTGACTGAGGGAGCTGAGTCATTGGCAGTAGGGGTAGAGGCTGTGGCAGTTATGAGAAAGATGTCCAGGAGGACCCACCCTGTAATTAATTGAGGGCTTTGTTGGGGTCTCACACAGCTGTGCTAGATGTGCTGGATAAAACTTTTGAAACCACTGAGAGAAAATGAAGGGGGTTCCTGTATGCTCAAGAAGCCTTCAACCAATCCTGACTTTTGTGGTGATGCCTGCAAGATAATGCCATCTACCTCTGTTTTTTTTTCACTGAAACATTCCTCCCTTTTGCTCCTATAGGGAGTGTGTCCCCCCTTTAGGTGGGAGAGGTGGACCCAGGAGTCAATGCCCTTGAGTTTAGGACCAAGTAGGGTCCATTCCGCTGGAGCTTGAGGAGTGCTTCTGGAAATAGTGTTTTCTGTAGACCCAATCTTAATGAGGGAGGAGGAGCCACTTGAGGGCTACAGAATGGCCTGCAAGACAAGAGAAGAGCTCTTAGCTTTAGAAATCCCAAGAACCTCTGCATATTGGGCTACAGTAGATGATGACAGAGATGAATCTGCCCAAGGGAATGGGGGCATAGGGTGCCCTGTCACAATCTCATATGGAGACACTTTGTGACTGCTAAAAGGGAGAGGACAAATGTAAATGTTAGCCGATTTGTCCTGGGAAAGTTCACAAGCCCAAATTAGGGCCTCAAGTTTGGCTCGTTGAGCCAATTGATGGCCTGGGAGATGGCTGGCCTCGATGACCTTGGTGTCAGAAGTCATAGTGTAAACTGCTACCACCTCTCCTGCCAGGTTTCTGAGACAGGAACTATCAATAAATAGGTTGAGGTCCACACAACTGGGTCTCCTGTAGCCCATCTCTTCCCAGAGTTTCAGCCTCAGTCTGGATTAGATAGACATGAGACAGTATAGGGACTAAAAGATCATCAGGGCCATGCATATCTTGCCCATCTTGGGCAAGAAGGTGGCCATGTTGAGTGAGCCACAGTGGACAATGGTGATGTTGGTAGTTGAAAGGAGGGCTATCTCCAAATTGGTGAATTGGCTAGTGAGAGATGTTGAGAAAAGTAAGAAGACAGCAGTGCTTCCATAGCATGTGGGACATGCAAAATTAATCTGCAACCTAGGACCAGGTCCTTGGTAGATTTGAGGAGTGAGGCTGCTGGGGTGACACTGCACAGACAGGTAGGGAATCCCTGTGTAACTGGATCAAGGACCAGACTTCCCCCATGATCCTGCACAGGGACACCAGCAGTGCATTTGTCCACAAAGAGATAGAAAGAAAATCATAGTTGGGCAGTCCCAAGGCTGGAGCAGTCATAAGTGTGTATTTGAGCTGGCTAACTGCCTCCAGTAGCACAGAGGCTATAGCAAGTCATAAAAGGGTTTGGCGATGACCACAAAAGATGAAATTCATTGGCAGTAATAACTTGTAAGTCCAAGGAAACCCTGAAGCTGTCACTTGGACTTGGGTTCAGGGAAGGCAGCAATGCCTTTAAGTCTTTCAGAGTCCAAAGCCATGGTCACATCAGACAAAATGTGACCAAGGAATTTTTCCATTGTTTCCACAAACTGCAACTTTTTTCTAGAAGTTTTTGTGTCCCTTTTGAGCAAGCATTTGAAGCAGGAACAAAGAGTCAGTCAGGGAATCCTCTGGACTTGTGGAGCAGATAAGAAAATCACCCACATATTGTAGGAGAATCCAGGGAAATCACCACGTATTGCAGGAGGACCAAGTTGGGAAATGCAAGTCCTCCAGGTCCTGCCCAAATGCTTGACAAAAAAAAGAATGGGGCTCTCAGTAGACCCCTGAGGCAAAACAGTCCAAGTGTATTGGCTGGTCTTCCCAGGTGAAAGCTGGGAAGGGCTGGGATTCTGGAGATAAGTGGACCAAGTAGAATGTAGCTGTGAAGTCAACGATGGTAAAGTGTAAGGCAAATTGCAGGATGGCTGATGGGATGGTGTGAGGGTTGGGTACCACAGGATGTCATGCCTGGACCACAGCATTGCCAGTTCAAAGGTCATATATCAAACACCATCCTTGGCTGCCAGGCTTCCACACAGGAAAGATAGGAGTGTTGCAAGGACTGGAAGCTTTGTAGATTATTCCATGATCATAAAATGGTGCCAAGAGAGGTCTTGCACCTCATGGGACAATGGGTGCACCCAGGGTAAGGTTTGGGATGAGTCAATGGTAATGGTGACTGGAAAAGCCAAGCTAATAGTGCCAGCCCATAGTGGGGGTGGGACATTTACCAGTGAGGCAGCTCCAGCCAATGACTCTAAGGGCTCCTTAGTTGAAGAAGTTGAGGTGGTCATAATGGTCAGGTAGCATATTGTAACCATTGTCTGGCCTGGTAAATGGTCGACTGTTCTCAGTCTCAAAGAGGCAGCATTCTTGGGTCAAGCTGACACAGGCCTACAGCAGGAGATGGCAGGAGAACAGTCACCGGATGCAGAAAAAATGGTGCCAGGTGTTCATCTTCTGTGAAGAGTCTTCCACACAACAGGTTGTCATAGAGAGACACCAGTTTGTCAAAAGTGATGTGTCAGTGCTGCAAATAGCTTGAGCTCAGTCAAATGTGACCCTCAACACATGGTATATGTTTATTATAACAGCAGATAGAAATGCCTAAGACCAGGTATGGTGATGGGAAAGACTACTTAGAGCTATCTGCACTTACAGGATACAAGAAGATCCTGTCAAGCTGCCTGCAAAGCCAGGTCACTGCTCCCCCTGAGCGGACTTGCCCATGAGGAGGGAAAGCTATAGACTGCATAGCAAGGGTACAGGATCACCCCTACTGGCAAGGCCAGATCACGGCTCCCCTTGGTCAGAGCTGGGTGGGCTTCTCTATCCCACTAACGAGTCCGCCGCAGTGACCAACCGGCTGGTGTGCTTTGGCTGAGGCGACTGACCAGACTTTATACAATTTTATAAGGGTGTAACTATATGCAAGGGGAGGGGTTAGGAGACTTACCTGAGGTATACACACACATATGGTGAGCTCAGACAGTGCCCAGGCACCAGCTGAACTTATCATATGAAACATATGCCTAAAGGCGTAACTATGCTTTTGAAAGTGCAACTGTGCTAAACTCACATGCTTCTTTATATTAAAAAAGGGAGTTATTTCATTAAATGGATGGCACATGCCTTCCAATTACATGCACACATAAGATGGGGACTTAGGAACATTACCAAGTTGAGTTAGCTGTGGAAACAGTTGACAGGTAGAGTCCTGGGCCGTACTCATTGCTCTGCTCTCTGCCGCCATAGTGCAGGGTTCATAAGTGTCATTGTCCATGTCTTCATAGATGTTCTCTCCATCACACCTCATTTAGGGAGGGAGGGGTCATAGGTTTCACACCTCTAAAATAAAATATAAACTTCCTGTCTTAACTTTTAAACTTCTTCACAATGAGGCCCCAATGTATTTGAACATTGCCACATTGAACATTATACCCCCTTCCGTACTCAACAAAACATCCAAACTGTTCTTCCCTCTGCCTGAGTTTCTAGTAGGAATAGGGATATAGCTAGAAGGAAGTCCTTCTGATCTCCTACTTATAACATGGGATTCCATGGGACCTCCAATGGCAGATGCTGGTCTCCTTCCCTTGCTCTGGTATGTTAGAGAAAGGATTCTTTTTGTTTATGGGGTGGCTTTGATAATGTCTGAGGTTCCTTCTAGTTCTCAAATTCTGTGAAGTCAAGAGCCATCATTGTATGCCAGTGGTAAGATGCTTGTCACCAAAATACAAACATTTGTACCACAAGGTACATTTCAGATGGATTGACATGTGTATCAGCCAGTATCATCCTAAGCTTGAGGAAGACATGAACTTCTCTGTTTTTTCTACTCTTTCTTTTCTTCCCTTATAGAGAGATGAAGAAAAATCCAACCACTACAGCTTTTCTGCTTTTCTGATATGTGGCTGCCCCCAAAGGCATATACCAATGCCCATTGCAAGCTTTATTCCCAACTGAGGCAGAAACTTAAAGAATACCTGCTTTCACACTGTGAAGGGAGAAGTGTTAAAGATCTCTAGACTCAGGCAGACATCCAGGAACATTCATGGAATTGTATAGAAACCTGAAAGAAATCTCAGAGGCCATCTAATCCAACCACTATATAGATGAGAAAACTGAGGCCCAAGGAAGTTTAATGATTTTTATTACCATTAGATTAAATATCATTATTAATAAATGACATTTATTACCAAGGTAATAAGTATACAAGGCAGAACTTGAATCCAGGACATCTAACTCAAGAGCCAGTGCTCTTTCCAATGACCCTCATTTAGTACAGTTTGGGGGCAGCTAGGTGGTGAAGTGGATAGAATGTTGGACCTAGAGTCAGGAAGACTAAGCTTCCTGAGTTCAAATCTAGTTTCGGACACATAATAGTTATATAATCTTGGGAAAGTAACTTCACCCTGTGTGCCTTAGTTTCCTCATCTGTAAAATGAGTTGGAGGAGACAGCAAACCACTTTAGTGTCTTTACCAAGAAAATCCCAAACGGGGTCACAAAGAGTTAGACACGACAACCCATTTCTTAATGAAGAGCTAGAAAGGTCATGGAGGATTGGTTTTTTTAATCATTTTTACATCTCAGAAAGAAGCAACTTGGCATGACAAGTAGAGGGTTTGCTCAGGAAGATCTGGCTGCAACTCCCACCTCTGACGTAGACTGGCTTTATGACCTGGAGCTGGTCACTTAACCTGACAATGTCCCCCACAACTTTCTGAGACCACAAGTTGCAGAACAGTTGTTGCGCTGGTAGAAGGAATCTTCTCATTGCAAGTTCCTGACACCAATGAAATCATAAGTTGGAAACCACAACAACAACAAAAAAATGGACTTCAGGAATTTGGTCTGGTGCTATGGCTTGGTTAACGAATTATTGGTTATTGAATTAGCAACCCTTCATCAGCCTGAAATCCAGAATGGCCATCTCTCTTCCCATCCTCCTCAACCCTATGCCCAAAAATGTCCCCCACTCTATATCTCCCTCTTCTGCTATGCTCTCTGGAATGCCTGCTCCACAGTTAATTTTGTTTTCATATTAAATCTTTTCCTTTCCAACTCCTTCCATATTCCATCTCTCACTGAGACTTTGCTTCCTCCTCATGACACAGCATCTCTGGCCACCCTTTCCAGTACTGGTTACTTTTCCCTCAAAACCCCAACTAGTTGTTGTGGGTAGAGTCAGAACACTCCCTGTTCCCCAATGCCACTTCCAGACTCTCCCACTAAATAACCTCTTCCCCTGCTAAGGTTTGTTGAAACCAAATTTATCACTCAAGAAAGATACAAGCAGCTGGTATCTACTGACCCCCTATATACTCTCCTGCCTTCCTTCCTCAATGAATTCAGCACCTGGTTCACAATTTTACTTTCCACTACAACTCCTGACCTTACACTAGGGGAATTCAACTTAAATATTGATACTCCCTTAAACACGCTAGCTTCCCACTTCCTCTATCTACTCATTTCCCATGACTTACTACTCTTCTAGTTACACATAAAGATGGTCATACACTTTCTTGATTATGCCACCACTCATGAGTGTTCCATTTCCATTTTCATAAACTCCAAAATTCTTTTTCGTTTTGTTTTGGTTTTGGTTGGGCAATGGGGGTTACACAGCTAGTAAGTGTTATGTGTCTGAGGCTGGATTTGAACTCAAATCCTCCTGAATCCAGGGCCAGTGCTCTATCCATTGTACCACCTAGCTGCCCCCCTAAAATTCTTTTATCTGATCATAATTTTTTTTATCATTCTATCTTTCCCTCTATCTCATAACCCCTAATTCTGATCTTTATCCTCACATGGGCTCCATTTTGTCTTCCTTTCAATTCTTTCCCAGACCATCACCCCCATAATGGCTACATACATTCCTGCTTTCCTCATCTAAATCCCTTTGTCAACTAGTTCAATTCTATAATACTCTATTCTTGAACTGAGCCCCAACTTTGGATTATTTTCATCATCTGCTGCCTTCACTCCCTTTCACATGCTGCTGAACAGAGCTGGAAAAGATCATGAAACTATGCTTACTGGTTCCCCTACAAAAGTACATTACATAATCTCAATAACAGCTAGCATTAAAATAGTGCTTTAAGGTTTCCAAAGAACTTTACATATTTCTTTTATCTTCATAACAACCCTAGAAGATAGATACTATTATCATCCCTGTTTTACAGATGAGAAAACTGAGACAGAGATTGAATGTCTTAGCTGAGGTGAGAAAAGCTAGGAGTTGAAGTTGGATTTGAACTTGGGTCATTTTGACTTTAGGTTCTGCCCTCTAACCCACCACCACCAAGGTGGGCTCTTACTAAAGCAAGGCAATCCTTTAACACCTCCCTGAGTGATTGACTATTCCACTCACCACAGCAAACATTATAGACCTCATCCCTTCTCAGGTCTCCTGTGGCACCCTTTCTCCCAACCTTCTCAACTCAGGACCTTGACTTATATTTCCTCCCTATAAATTGAGGCCATTAGCTAAAAGTGTTCTCTTTTCTCCTCTTCCTCAACTCATATCACTCATGTCATCCCCAATATTTTTAACCTTATCTCACACCAACGTGTACTCAATCTCCTTGCTAAGGCAAAGCATTCTATATCCCATCTTTTCCAGTAGATTGCCCCCTCTCTCATTCCCCAACTTTCACTAAGCTTTATTGTCTTGCTATTTACTGGATACTTCTGCGCTACACATAAACAAACCTACCTCTCTTCTATCCTTGGAAAATCCTCACTTGCTCTGACAATCTCTGCTAATTGTCATACTGTATCTTTCCTCCTTTTGATGCTAAAGTCTTTGAGAAAGCCATCTGCAATGGATGCCTCTACTTTTTCCTGCCACTTCTTAATTCTCTACAATATGGCTTCTCCTCATCATTCAGCTGAAACTGCTCTTTCCAAAGTTAATAGAGATCTCCAAACTGCCAAACCTAATAGCTTCTTCAATCTTCATCCTTCTTACTCCTCTATTACAAATGAAGAAACAGACTTTGAGAGGAAAAAGCATACTTGTACATAGTCACACAAGTAGCAGGTGTGGGAGTATGGATTCAAATCCAGTTCTTCCAGCCTCCACATCCTACATTCTGAGCACCACAACACAGTGCTACTTAAGGACTTCATATAACTTAGCTCATAGAAGCAACCAGACTCTTCTTCCCAGAATTTTATCAATTCAGACATGAGAAGACTTAAAAAAAAATCAGTGACTACTTAATATTCTCACATCCGTTTAGACTTGGACTCATAATTTCCTGAACAGTCAGATCAGTGTGGGTATTTAGGTTGCTAAGACAGACAACATTTTTCAGTCAACAACCTACATACCATTTATGTGGAATAAAAACCCCTCTCTAAAAGAGCAGCTTGTTTATCCCAAGAGCTTTGCCACTAATCTATGAGATCACCAAACCATCTGTGAAATTAGAAATCTAGATATAGAATTTTAAGGATTGTTTGGACTCTAGAATCCAATAACTAAGTATAGCCTGGATTGGACACTGACTTTTGGTGTGACTCTGAACCCAATCCTGACCCTTCTGACTCTAAAATTCTTTATCTATAAGATGAAGAGCCTGGACTAGAAAAGTTTAAAGTTCCTTCCAGGTGTAATAATTTTTTTGATTCTGTGGTTATTAGTGCAGAAGCAGCCTGGTAGAATTGATTAAGGGATATCTTTGGAGTCAAGAAGACCCTAGGTTCAAATCCTGCCTCTACCAAATATTAGCTGTGTGACCTGAATTTACGGATGAGGAAACTGAGACAGAGACTGAATGACTTAACAGAAGTGATAAAAGCTAGAATGTGCTGGAAGCTGGGTTTGAACTTGGAGCATCTTGATTCTGGGTACAGCCCTCCTCCTTTCTTCCTATCCTCTGAAAAGCTTCCAGCATCAAGATTTTCATCCCTTTTGGTTTTCACTCTCCACCTTCCTCCCTCTCTCCTCCAACCCAGACACATTTCCAATGTCAAGCCAATCATGGCTTCTAGCAAGTGTTTATCATTAGCAAGAGAAGGGCAAATGTGTAGAGCACCAGACAAAGAGTCAGGAGACCTGAAGTTGAGGCCTACCTCTCCCATTCACTTACTGAGTGACTTTGAGTAATTCATTTTCTATTTCTGAACCTGTTTCTTTTTCTGTCATTTAATCTTCAGTATTCACAGGAAATTCTCTAAGATGGAAAGTTAGAAACAAATTGTTAATCTGCCTCAGTGGAAGACATTTTCACAGTGGAAGTTCCTCTCACTGATCAAATCATAGGTTCACACCTCCCCCTCAAAAAAAAAAAAACTCCAAACCATTATTGCCAATGTTACATTAGAGAGGTATATCTT